CCCAATATTTTGTGGAACCCCAAAGTTCATTATAGTGTTCACAAGAGCCCTCCGCTGGTCCCTATCCTGAGCCACATCAAGCCGATCCATACCAACCCCATCCTATCTAAGATACATTTTATTCTTATCCTCCCACCTACGTTAAGTCTTCCTGGTGGTATATTTCCTTCTGTCTTTCCTACCAAAATCCTCTATGTATTCCTCTTTGCCCCGTGCGTACTACTTGCCCTACCCATCTCATCCTCCTGGACTTGATGAATCTAATTATAACAGACGAAGAGCATAAGTTATGAAGCTCCTCATTATGCAGTTTTCTCCAACCTCTTGCAATTTTATCTCTCTGCGGTCCAAATATTCTCCTCAGTCTATGTTCCTCCTTTAATGCGAGAGTCGAAGTTTCACGCCAATACAAAACCACGGGCAAAATTATCAGGCTATCTGTCGCTCTATATCCATTGCTGACCTTGGCCACTTTTTCAGTTTCTTAATCTATACATAGTCGTTAGGACTCCTCGGACGGGGGATCAGTCCGTCACAAAGCCGCTACCTGTACAGGACAACACAAACACAGAATAAACACACAAAGACATCCGTGCCTCAAGTGGGATTCCAGCCCACGGTTCCAGTATTTGAGCGGGCGATGACAGTTCATGCAGTAGACCGCGCGACCACTGTGATGGGAAGGTCCGAAGATAGTGATGTTAAAATCTGTTTTCACCTAAGTTTGCTCAGTGGCCCTTTCTGAACTGCATGTACACGTATGATACAGATTATATTCAGAAGCCCGAAGTGTGTTACGTTGGAACCACCGAACGGTCTGGCGTCGCGGCAACACTCTAGCCTCGTACTCGGGAGGTGCTCCTTTCGAATCTCGCTATTCTGGCTGAGCTTTGTTGTGGTTTTCTTCACTCCCGCCATGCCAATGCCCGAACAGGACCTCGATTTGCGCCACGACCGCTTCTTTCTAAGTTCTTTCCAATCAGAGTCAGAGCTACTTTACGACTGACGGTTTACCGCCAGTTTGTCTTGGCGATAAGCTCCTTGAGACTCACGATCAATAATTTTATTTCCCGTCTGAACACTTGTGGTTATAGTCCTTATGTAACGTCCTATCTGACGAGAGGATGAGTCTGTCGTTTACAATTGCTGCTGGTCTCACCAGCGCAGTCATTCTCAGGTCCGAGTCCCGCGAGACTCATGCCCATATTTTACTGTCTCAGATTGGAGGCTCCCCCAACCTGGAGGGCCAGGTCTCAATATTTATATCCTTCAGGAACAGGGTGGCCCGGTTATACCCCCAGACACCGGGTTCCATTTTCATCGCCTCCTACGACTCGCAGGGCTACGGTGGAGGTACGACGTATTCGACCTCGTCTCCACACAGGATCATTCCAATCATTTGTGCTAACCTTCATTAAATAGCCCACACAGTCCGTACTCTGAAATACGTGACATCAAGGGCGAGAGAACTAACCCAGGCTGACAACCAAAGCTGAACTGTGTAAACAAGTGGCACTAAACGCGGCCTTGAGACCGCTGCCTCACACGTACTCGCATTCAGCGCGTGAGCACACAGACGTTAATGACTGCGGGTGTTTTCTGTTTGCCACCCACACGACGTGCTATCCAATGGGACTGCAGCGTTTTAAGGCGTGGACCACCGAGCCTTCTTGTTCTTGGCGACGGCCGAGGGACTGGATATCTAGCCCGACAGGTCGTTTAGAATTAGAGATGTAAGTTATTGACATGTTTTCAGACGCATTCTTCAGCCATTTTCGCTTACAAGTATGATCTTATGTAGGATTATGTATATTTCGTGGAGTTTTTTTAGTAGCACATCTTTATCTAGTTTCCTCCGGTTCGGTAAGGTCAATCTAGATAACCAAGTCCAAAGGAAAGCTTCTTCCAGTTCATAAATTTTATTACAAAGTAACCCCAAAGAGATAATCACAGTATTAGTGATAAGGAACTTTTATTCTTTTTTTGTGTGTGTGTTTTTCGTGGCAAACAGTTTGGACTGAGCGGGTTAGCATAGCGCTAAAGCACTAGACTCACACTTTCTGAAGGCACGCCGGCTATCCTAGCTGAAGTGGTTTTAATGGTTTTCCTCAACCCGTTTAGAAAAATGCCGTAATAGTACCTCTATCACGTTACAAGTGCTTCTGTATCATTTGAGGCTACAAATCTTTATTGATTACGTCGCAAAGTAACATTCCCCAAAAATCTTTATTTTTAAAAAATATAAGGAGGCTTATGAGGTCATCATGCTGTTTGTGTGTCTCTCAGCATATCCCCACCCTTACAAACTTTTGATTGCCCAAAGAAATCTTTATGAAACTTGGTATATATACCAAGGCACTTGAACCTATCACAAGGGCTTACTTCATAAATCCCTCCCATCAGTCTGAGTGTCTGTATGTATATCCCCTTATCATTGCTAGGCAACGGCTCGGTAAAAATGTTACTGAGGCAATTAAAACAACTGGGGGGAGGGGAAGAGGTAGCGTAGTTGGTTGAGGTACTATGCTACAAGCCGGAAGGGCACGGGATCGATTCGCAATAAGGTCATTGGATTTTTCATTTGACCTAATCCTTCCAGCCACACTATGGCCCTGGGATTGACTTAAGCTCTAACAGAAATGAGTACCAGGAATCTTCCTGGGCATAAAGGGCGACGGACGCGTAAGGCTGGCAACCTCAGCGCCACCTGTGAGCCGATTGTCTAGAAAATGTGGGAGTCTCAACGTCTCACAACTCTATGAGCCTTCACGGCTTGTTACAGGAATAGCTTTACCTTTTACCTTACCTTACTAATACACATGCAAAAATAGTAGTTGGACACGTCGTTTTCTACGCGGTCCGTATCTTATTAAGGCAAGAAGTCGATTAGTTCTTCCCAGAACTTCTTGAATATTTTGTACTTTCTATTTTTCGTAGTGTGACCTAGCTTGTAGTGGATCAATACAGACCAAATATAAATTAGAACCCATCATTTTTACTCGAAAGCCCTCAAGCGGTTCTAGATACTGAACATGCGAACATTTAGAGGAGCATTATGTACTGTCTTCCGCCACTTGGTGGAACGTGCAATCAGGTGGGTTCTTTTCTCTCCCCCGCCCCCCCCCAAACGGCTTTTTCTTCTGCTGAGGATACGTAGGCCAGTCACGGTAGCCGAGCGGTCTAAGGAATGAACTGTCTCCCCTCTCTCGGAATCCGGGATCGTGGGTTCGAATCCTACAAAAGATATGGATGTTTGGTATGTTTATGTGTTTATTCTGTGTTTGTGTTGTCCTGTGTTTAAGTAGAGGCCTTGCGACGGGCTGATCACTCATCCAACGAGTCCTACCGTCTGTAAAATAATCAAAACGAAAAAACAATCTCGACACCGTAGGGTATAGGAGGAACGGACTGAGTTAAAATGAGACATAGCGTAGGATGAGCTGGTGGTAAATTGTGTTTTGAGTTTAGTCCACCGTAGTTTGCTCGAAGACAGCGTACTTGCATTCTCCTGGAATGAATGGAGAAAGTGGTAAACAACCGTGACAAGGGCATGCGATATTCTTGATAGAATTCCTAACGGACACCTCCGCAATACAGGTCTATATACTTGTCGCTGTGTCATTCTGTCCAGTTATTATAATTATCATAACAGTAAGAGAGTGTCTCGTCCGTTTTCCAATTGTTGCCTTCCATGTTGCTTAATTGTGGCCAAGGTGAACGTTGGTTTCTGAATTGAGGTGGGTTACTTTTTTCCTTCGGTCACAGATGTGTGACAGAAGATAAGCCTTCACAGTCTCTCATTAGAATATCCTGCTGTTGCTTTAGGATAAGCTGCAAAGGATATTGAACTATCCGAGTTTTAGCCCCGTCTAATCTATCGCTGATCCTGTGATATATATTATTTGATTGTTAGAGCTCAAGGCGGGTTAGCACAGTCGGTATAGCAACGGACTATGGGCCGGGTTTCGGTTCCCTCCAAGGAGAGCATTATTCTCTTCTCCATATTTTTCAGGCCAGCTTTGGGATCCACCCAGCATTGTATTTGATGGGTACCGAAGAGGATTTTCTAGAGCGTTAAGACGCCGGAGAGTGAAGCTGGACACTCACCTCCATCTAGTGCCCGATTGTCATGAATTGTGAAGCCGTAACTGCAGTCCCCCATACGCCCTCATGGCATAGTACTTAATCAAGTACAGGGAGAATTTTACAGGAATATTCCTGGGGATAAAGGGCGGCCGGCGCGTAAGGCTGACAACCTTAGCGCCATATGTGAGCCGACTGTCTAGACAATGTGGGGCCCTCAACATCTCACAACCCTATGGGCTCCCACGGCCTGTTACAACGCTAGCTTTACTTTTTTTACAGGGAGAGTTTACATCACCTTACAGCTCGGCACGTAACATGACTGTAGATTGCGCGGTAGTAGTTAGACACGTATTTTCTATAGAAAATTGAGAGTTTTGTCTTCATATCATGCAGAATGTTCTGGAGTTCTGAATGTAATGAAGCACTTTGCAAGCTCAACTGATGTTAGCAATTTGTGCTGATGGGATTCCTACAGTTCAGTTACGTCTTCAAGAGTTCTATCTTTTGGGATATAACGTCGTGTAGTCTGTTGAAAATCAACCAACCTTTCGGAGGAACATGTCGCCTCCATCTTAAGGGTCGAAGAAAAAAACACGCAAGAAACTATGCTACCTACTCCTAGCTGGTTTCTTGCGTGGTTTATTCTTCGACCCTTAATATTAAGGCGGTATGTTCCTCCGAAACGTCGGTTGAATTTGAACGGCGTTATATCCCAAAAGACAGAACTCTTCATTAGTATCGCTGTGAGAACCTCATCCCAAACATAAATACATCTTGTCGCAGTATTTGATGTGTACATGCGATTACACGTACGGGTATTCACACTCTCGTATGTTTGATATCAGCAGTTGCGTAGCATTGCTTTTTTCCCTCACTGGTGCGCAAATCGCCTCTTCGCTATACGTTGCAACCTAGGAGCCGGTAGACGAACGTTTCCAGTAGGACAACATTCAGCTAACTGTGCGGTTCGTTCAGTCCATCTCTGTCCTTACGAAAGGCTCGCGTGTCCGGCGCCTCCTGAATTGCTTGCTAGAAGGACGACAGTTTTCCTATTGACGCTTTCTCTAAGAAAACAACAACGAAATGGGGAGTGAAAAGGAAACAATCAAAAGAAGCCTTACGAACATCGGACAGGAAGACTATTACATCAGGTTTGTTTCACAGCATTTTATAGTTTTCTTTTATTTTTTTCAATCATTGTTATAAGTGCATATTCCTCGTTTCCTGCAAATATATCTTGCATATTGTGCATCTGAGTGCAAGCCTCCACGTGTACACGTATGCCTGCGTCATGTTTACTCTCATAATTAGGTAACTCATGGAAAGAGTCACCAGACATGCAGTTTTATTTCTGTAGTGTTGTTCTCAGTTGTTTGTGTCTGCAGTCTAAGGTTACATACCTTTCTTGGTTTTATTTGACGTTGTTTTTGCGTTAAAAGCAAAAGGGAAGTCCCTTCGCTTAATTAATCATCAAGCCGTGGAGGACTCTACAGCCGTTGTGGACCTTAGCCGCTTTTTCAGTGTCTTAATCTATACACAGTAGGTAGGACGCCTTGGGCGGGGGATCAGCCCGTCGCAAGGCCTCTACCTACACACAGAACAACACAAAAAGGGAATAAACGCACAGAGACATACATGCCGCAAATTGGATTAGGACCCACTAGCTCAGTTTTCGAGCGGGTGAAGACAGTTCATGCCTTAGACCGTGCAGGCACTGTGATCGGCAGGAGTGGAGGTGTACCTCCAGTATTCTTGACCTCGGCGCTAGATGGAGATGAGTGTCAGCTTCATGCCCTGGTCGCTTTGCCCTACGCGAAAGGGTCCTCGGTAGCCATCATGTAAGAGACAGGGTGGGCCCCAGAGGCGGTCTGGACGCTGCGGAAGAAAGAAGACTTTCCCTTGCCAAGGTTACAAGTCCAGTTCCCCTGCCATCTACCTTATAGCCCCAAGGGATATCATCTGCGCTACCCCGCCATGTTCATAATTATAATTTTCGTGAGTTTTTAATTGTAGTGGCTGATTAGTCACCAGAAGCCAATAAAATAATTTTAAATTTGATGGTATCTGGAGTTCTTGACGGCGTGCACAAAATGCCATTGCCAAATTCCTGTTACTCGAAAGCCGCGTTTTGTCAGTGGACTGTACGTCAATATTCTTACCCTTAATTTAAGTCAAGTTGCTGAGGATTATTGGGTTCCCGAATTTTGTCTATTGTCTAGCATTCTAAAAAAAAAAATACAATGTTTCGGAAACTGAATCTGCTTCCACTCACAGATGGAATTATAGGGAGTCATCTATTCAGTTTTTTTTTCCATTGGAAAGAGCTGATCTCAGCGGGAAACATCCAGTTTCTGAATATTTTTTTTTATTTTCAGAATACTAGACAGTGAACAAATTCAAGAAAGCCACTAAGTCCTCAGAGCAATACATCGTCACAGCCCTTCAAAGTCAATTTAAATAAAATCGCCGTAGGATAATGTAGCTTACAAAGAAGGTAATTGTAAAGAAGCTATCCCTGTAACAGGCCATGGAGGCCCATATAGTTGTGAGACGTCGAGGCTCCCACATTTTCTCTAGACAATCGGCTCATAGATGGCGGTGGTGGCTCTTTGTATTTTATGTTTTCGTCGATCTTTATCCTGTAACATCCATATAACTTATGCCTATTTTGGAAGCAGACATTTTATCGTGCAAAACAGTTTATGGGACAGCTGCCAATCCTACAATACCAACAACTGGACGTTGCGGTCAAGAGGATAATAATCCTGCTTCATACTTTGGAGGTCCTGGGTTCAAATCTCGCCAGAGACCGCCTATCTTGAGTAAGGTATATTGTAGTTTTTATGTCTCCTTCCATATAGATATATTAACTAGCGTAGTTTTTTGAGGCACTGTGCTACAGGCCGGAAGGTTGCGGGTTCGATTCCCGATGAGGTCATCGCATTTGTCAGTTGACCTAATCCTTCCAGCCGCACTATGGACCTGGTGTCGACTCAGCTTCTAACAGAAATGAGCACCAGGAATCTTCCTGTGGGGTAAAGGTCGGCCGGTGCGTAACGCTGACAACTTTACTACCATCTATGAGCTGAAGGTCACGGGTTCAAGTCCCATTGAGGTCACTGGATTTTTTCAATTGACCTATCCTTTCAGCTGCACTATGGCCCTGGGGTCGACTCAGCCTCTAACAGAAATGAGTACCAGGAATATTCTTGGGGGTAAAGGTCGGCCGGCGCATAAGGCTAACCTCACCGTCATCTATATACAGTTGTTTAGAGAAAATGTGGGAGCCTCGACGTCTCACAACCCTATGGGCCTCCACGGCCTGTTACAGGGATATCTTTACCTCCTTTATCTCTTTACCTTCACTGGAATTCCAGATACACGTGTACTCTCCAATTTACTATTCATTAATTGCCCTATCTTTCCCATCTATACAGTCACACCTTCTGACGGAGTTATTAAATAAACCGTAAATAAATAAATTAAATAAATAAACGTCTAGCCATTATTGCTAACCGTATCATTCTGAATTACACTTGGGATTATCCTGTTCGAAACTGGTCGCTGAACAGCTGCCTTAGTTGGGTTTTCTCTTTGCTTTTCTCTGCCTCTCCGGGTACTTGCCAGCTCTTCCTTTTCATTCCTCTCAGTTTTGTACACAAAACCATCCAATCTCATTCTGTGCCCTGTAAAGTTCCTAGACAGTCGCCTTTTGAGTAGAAGGTTACAGGTTCGAGACAAAATGGATCGAATGCGGATGTTTTTGTGTGCATACGTGCGTGTTTGTGTGCGCGTGCGCGCGCAAGTGTGTAGTAATAGGCCTGACCTTGTTTACGATACCCCTTGACCACCATTATTGTCATTTTACTATCATCATGTCACTGGGGGAAGAAAATTGAAACCCCATCCATTGGGTGCTTGTGGCTAAAATGTAATGTCTACCCACCAAAAGGCAAAGACTGCAAACAAATACTTCTACAGTTGACAATATTTTCAAAATTGTCTAAATGAACCATAACAATCTCTCTCGGAACTTCCTATAATAAATCTCTGAAATCTTGACGATTTAGCCAGGGGCATCAAATCGTTAGACTAGATTCTATTTGTCTATCTATCTATCTACCTACCTATCCTGTTATTCCTGTTGCATCCTTTTGGCGCATAAGGTTTCTATGAAACACTTCGCTTTAGTTCAGTTTCTTAATCATAGACAGTTGGACGGTGGATCAACCGGTCGCAAGGCTCCTATGGCTACTACCTACGCACAGAACAACAGGGGAAAGTCGGACAGACCATCCCAGCGTTCGAACGGGCGCACGCATTTCGTGCTTAGACCGCACGACCACTGCGATCGACTAGACTAAATTAGGAAGGGTAAGGACATTTGTTCTTGTGCTTAGCTAAGACTAAGCCATGAAAATTTATGTAGAACAGAGGTATAGCTCCACCTATTCTTAACATCCGCATTATATGGTGCCGAAGTATTTGTCACCTGCACGCACCAGCTGCTTGGTCGCCTGGGAAAACCCCTAATATCTACTGGATATGGGGCTCAGTGGCCACTAGAGTCTGAACCCTGTCGAGTACAGGAAATCTTTACCCCTGCCGGGTGTCGATCTCTGATTCTCCTGTTACCCGTCTCACACTCTAGTCATTGTGTTGGATGAGTCAGAGTGAGAATCGCTTTACGACTTGCGACTTACCGCCAAGACCCTTGAGACTCACGGCCAGATTTTCTTTTCAGGTGAACACTAGCAATCATAGTCCGCATGAAACGTCCCCTCTGACGAGAGGATGGGTCTGTCGTTTACCGTTGCTGCTGGTCCCAGCTAGCGCAATCATTCTCAGGTTCGAGTCTCGCGAGACTCATGACCACATTTTACTATCTCAGAATCGAGATTGCCCAAAACTGGAGGACTAGGTCCATGTATTTATATCCCCAGGAACAGGATGACCCAGTCATACCCCCCAGGCACTGGGTTCTCTTTCCATCGCCTCCTACGACGTGCAGGGCTACGGCTGAATATTGGATGAGCTAGCCGGAGTCATAGAATGAATCAGAACATCAGAAATTGTGAAGAGACGAGAGTTATCTGTAGTGTGGAAGGCTGAAGTAGTTCGGAACATATTCTTTGTGCTTGGAAAATAAACTCTTCGGCATGTGTTCAAATTATGTTGCAATCTTTATGTCAAAGATCATGTGATGTATGATAGGTCAGGCAATTATAGAAGTTTTGATATATGGGTATATCTTCAATGCAACGTCACAGATAATTGGCCTGATCACCACACAGTCCATGTTTCCTGCAAGTTCACAACATACTTCGGCCACACAGGGCCATCATCATGTATATACGGGTACGTAGTATGATGACTTGCTTTGTTTGTTATATACTGTACTGTAACACAATCTAGCTGTAAGTCCAAATGTTTATTATTCTGTGAACCAAATTAGTTCCCGTGAAAATTGTTTGATAATATTCACCCATTCATGGAGATGAGCCCTTCTTGAGAGACCGCCAATTGTGGAGCTACTCAGGAACTTCCCAACATTTTATGGAACCCGAAGGTTCATTACCGTGTTCACAAGAGCCCTCCACTGCTCCCTATCCTCAGCCAAATCGATCCAGTCCATACCATCCCATTCTCTCTCACTAACATCCATTTTAATATTGTTCACTCACCTACGTCTTGGTCTTCCCAGTGGTCTCCTTCCTTCCGCCTTTCCCACCAGTATCCTATATGCATTTCTCTTCTCCCCCATTCGTGCTACATGCCCTACTCATCTCATTCTCCGTGACTTCATCATTCTAATTTTACTTGGAGAAGAGTACAAGTTATGAAGCACCGCATTAAGCAGTTTTCTCCAACCTCACATTACCTCATCCCTCTTCGGTCCAAATGTTCACCTCAGCACCCTCAGCCTGTGTTTATCCCTTAATGTCAGAGACCAAGTTTCACGCCCATACGGAACCACAGGCAAAATTATAGTTTTGTATATTCTGATTCTTGTTTTTGGACAGCAGACTTGAAGCCAAAAGGTTCTGGACTGAATGGTAGCAAGCATTACCCGAGTTCAATCTCCTCTTAATTTCCTCCTGAATCAGACTTTAATTTGATATAGTCGTTCCCCAGTATCAAGATTTCAACA